CACATGATGGAGCTAGGCATAGTTAGGCCTTCCACTAGTCCATGGGCTGCACCTCTACATATGGTGTGCAAAAAGTCTCTCGTTGACTGGCGCCCATGCGGGGATTACCGACGGTTAAACACCTCCACTGTGCCTGACAGGTATCCACTTCCCCATCTCCACGACTTTTCATCTAGCCTAGCTGGAGCGACAATATTTTCCAACATTGACTTAGTCAAAGCCTTCCATCAGATACCCGTTGCTCCAGAAGACATTCCCAAAACGGCGATTACAACACCGTTCGGTCTGTTCGAGTTTGTCAGGATGCCTTTTGGGCTACGCAACTCTGCCCAAACTTTTCAACGTTTCATCAACGAAGCCCTCCGCGATCTACCGTTCGTTTTTGTCTATGTCGACGATGTTCTGGTAGCAAGTTCCAGTGAACACGAGCACCTACAACATTTGCGTCTCATTTTTGAACGATTGAGCCAATTTGGCGTTTTCATTAATGTTTCTAAATGCGTTTTTGGCGCACAGTCGCTGTTTTTCCTAGGACATCGCGTAGATGCTTCTGGTTGTCATCCCACAGATGCCAAAGTTTCGGCTATTCGCGATTTCTCTACTCCCACTTCTTTTCAACAACTGCGCCGTTTTATAGGCCTTGTCAATTTCTATCGCCGTTTCATCCCTCATTGTGCTCAATTAATGCTACCACTTACTAACCTTTTACGCGGGAACAATCGCGAGTTTTCTTTTCCTGACACAGCTGTAGAGGCTTTCAATCGTGCGAGGAAGGCTCTTGCGGATACAACTGTCCTTGTCCACCCTATACCTGATGCCCCACTTTCCATTGTGGCCGACGCCTCTAATTTCGCTATAGGTGCTGCCGTTCAGCAACAGACGCCCACTGACACCCAGCCCTTGGCTTTCTACTCTGCCAAATTAACACCCCCACAAACTCGCTATAGCACTTTTGGTAGAGAACTTCTTGCAATTTATTTAGCCATTAGGCATTTTCGTAATTATATTGAGGGCCGAGATTTTTGTATTTATACTGACCACAAGCCTCTTACTTATGCCCTTTCTACTTCTTCTGACAAGTATTCACCCCGCGAGGCCCGCCATCTCGATTTTATTTCTCAGTATACCACCGACATTCGATTTATTAAAGGCCTTTATAATCAAGTTGCTGACTGTCTTTCTCGGCCTGGCATTAATACCATCACCCGCCCTTCCATCGACTTGGAGCGCATGGCAGAACTGCAAAATCAGCCGACGTTCAGTGAGAGCCTTCTACACACTAGTCTTCAACTCGAAGCCATTCCTCTTTCCACCACCCCCGGTACAATCTTGTGTGACGTATCGCGCGGTGCCTCCCGACCCGTAGTGCCAAGCGAGATGAGACGAGATGTTTTTGCCGCGTTGCACAATCTAGCTCACCCTGGCATCCGCACTACCCAGCGCCTCGTCAGCGAGCGGTTCGTTTGGCCAAGCATGAACACTGACATCCGCCAGTGGACCCGCTCATGTTTGGCCTGTCAGAAGGCCAAAGTCGGACGGCACAACAAAGCCCCCATTGGCACTTTTCTCGCACCCGACGCACGTTTTTCACATGTTCATATCGATCTGGTAGGTCCCTTTCCAATATCTCGTGGTGGCAACTACTTACTTACTGCGATTGACCGATTTACTCGTTGGCCCATTGCAACTCCCATACCTAACATAACTGCAAATTCCGTTGCTCATGCTTTTTTGGAACACTGGATCTCTCATTATGGCGTCCCCTCAACAATTACCACCGATCGAGGTCAACAATGCGAGTCTAGACTTTTTAACAGCCTTACCAACCTCCTCGGATGTTCTCGCATACGCACGACAGCATACCACCCCTCATCCAACGGTTTAGTCGAGCGTTTCCACCGGCAACTCAAAGCCTCGCTCCGAGCTCATGACAACCCTTCCCATTGGAGCGAGCATCTGCCTTTGGTCATGCTCGGTATCCGTACCGCACTCAAGCCCGACTTGGAGTGTTCCGCTGCCGAACTTGTCTACGGTACTACCCTACGGATTCCAGGTGATTTTTTCGGGCACTCTCAAAGCTCAGGCGACTTGGATCCCAGCGATTATGTGCAAAGATTGCGCCAAGCCATGACTCATCTTCGAGCCACTCCTCCACGTCCTTCAACAAGTAAGTCGTACGTCGACCCGAACTAACAAACATGTTCTTTTGTATTTGTCCGCGTAGATAGCGTTCGCCGGCCACTACAACAGCCCTATGACGGCCCATTTCGAGTACTATCGCGCAAGGACAAGCACTTTACAATTGACCGTGGAGGCCGCACCGACGTGGTCTCAATCGATCGCTTGAAGGCGGCTTATACCGAGCCTCTTCCAACTTCTCCAACCGAACAACCCCTACTTGGCACATTGCCACTTGCTATTTCCCAGACTCCATTTACGCCCAATAACCCCGCGACTTCCCTTATCCCACAGACTGCTCCCCTTACGCGCAGCGGTCGTCATGTCCGTTTTCCCGACCGTTACCAACTTGTACAATATGCATAACACTCCCATATTTTCCTTCTATTAACAATAATTTTTTTTTGAACTCCGTTCTCCTAGGAGGGGGAGTATTGTAGTGACATTTAAGTCTGTTTTGTTTTAATCAGTTACTATACCCTTTGACACAACTTTGAATAAGACAAAGAACACGCACGTGCACTTTTACCTGCTGACGACTTTGTTCTTATTTATAAGTTTGTAACTGTTGGGATATCGCTATTTTCGTTTCCTGGATAGCCTACTCGCTGTGCCCAACTAGTGGATTAATCTCTTATAAGACATTCACGCTAATTGTCCATTGCCAAAATATATTATAACTCGTTAGGAAATTGCTTGGTAGCTACGTCATCTGCTAATATCAGCTACATGTGTGAATAGCGTCAGCGTTTTTGCCTAGATGGTTGTATGGTTCTTTTAATTAACTGCGGTCTAGACCGAGTTACAGGCAACTTCGCGGGGATCTCTTGCAAGCCTTCCGCATTATAAAGGGGTTGGATTGCAGTCTGGCCTTCGAGGACTTCTTTGAATTTGCTACCACGACAAACCTCCGAGGTCACCCGTTAAAACTGCGCACTCAGCAGGCACGGCTGGATGTGCGGAAGTTCTCCTTCTCGGTTCGGGTGGTTAAACCATGGAATGAGCTGCCCGCAGATGTTGCGATGTAACCATCTATACAGAGTTTTAAGAAGTATCTGGACATATTTATTCAGTTTTTTTCAGTTTATTTGGTAAGGATAATAGGCAAAGCCTTCGAAAACCCTATTGATTACATGTCAGCTCGTTAGAAATAACTGTACGCGAGCAAAAAATGTTCACTATTAAAACAGTACTTGGTTCATTTGAGCAGGATTGTCTCAGAAAAAATGTTTGTCTGGACCAGGGGTATTAATTCAGATTCAGACTGTCGAGGGAAAACAGGGGACACAAATAATCATCCAAGCGTTTCTTGAAGAGTTGCAGGGACGTAGCCTCCACGACTGACTGAGGAAGATCGTTCCATTTCTCCACTACCCTCTGCGTGAAAAATTCAGAACGAAGAATCATCCTGGACATTGTTGTCCGGAACTTCATCGAGTGACCACGAAGATTGGGTGAAAGGTGCCACTGAAACATGTCCTCAAATTTAAGCCCATACTCAAGGCCATGTATTATCTTGTAGACGAGGATAAGATCACCTCTTTGCTGCCTGTAACACAGAGGGAATAAATTAAGGCAATTCAGTCTGTCTGTGTAGGAATGGCTTTTTAGACCGTTTACCAGCTTTGTCGCACGCCGTTGTACTCGTTCGAGGCATGCTTGGTCCTTTACTAGCCACGGCCGCCATGCTTGTATGCCATATTCTCAGTGGGGACGAACAAATGTTCCGTAAACTCTCCCAAAAAGGTCTTGGTCAAAGTTAACGAAAGTCATTTTGATTGCATGCAGCCCTCCCATGGCGTTTTTTGCAGCGTTGTGGCACTGCAGTGTTGGTTTCAGGTTGTTCTGTATCCAAACCCCGAGATCCTTCTGTGAAGATTCTGCGGGGAGCCTTATATCTTTCATGTGATATGTCCTCAGGCTCTCATGTGAACGAGAGTTGGTTGGACGCAGATGAAGGATGGCACACTTCTCCACATTGATATCTAGAAGCCATTTCTTCGACCACGCTTGCAGTCGGTGCAGATTATCTTGAAGAGATCTCTGATCATTCGGACCCTTAATGACTTGCCAGAGATTAACGTCGTCTGCAAACATTATTTTGCCGCAGTCGAGTTCCTGAAGTCTGTCGTTAACGTAAAGGATGAAGAGCAATGGTCCCAGAACTGAGCCTTGCGGCACATCACTGGTCACATTCACCCATTCTGACATATCATCCCCGACACAGACACGTTGTTTCCGACCAACCAGGAACGCCCTAATCCAGTTCAGAAGATCTCCCCGGATGCCGATGGCGCTCAATTTGTGAAGAAGACGTTGGTGCGAGACAGTGTCAAAATCTTTGCGGAAATCGATGTATACGACATCGACCTCAAAACCCTCTTCTGGAGCCCTGGTCCAGATCTCCAGACAAGCTAGCAGATTTGAGAGGCAGGAACGTCCTCTCCTGAAGCCATGTTGAAAATCCTGCAAGATGTTATTTTCCTCACAAAATTACTGTATGGCGCTTTTTACTAGAGCTTCCATCGTTTTGCAAGGGAGGCAAGTAAAGCTAATAGGCCTAAAGCTACTTGCTGTCATCCTGCTACCTCCCTTATGCAATGGAACGAGGTTAGCTGTCTTCCACTGTGAAGGCAGCCTTCCTGTTCTCATTGAAAGCTCAAAGAGAGTCGAAAGAGGATTTGACAGCTCCGTTGATAGCTCCTTAAGTATCAGCCCGGGAATTCCGTCGGGTCCAGGAGACTTATCAGTTTTTATTTGACTGAGGACGCGTCTGACTTCTTCGACGGAAAAGGCGACAGTTTCAATAACGGCAATATCTTGGCGCATTTGAAGCTCCCGGCTATCCCGGTCCATTTCAAACTTCTGATTGTCTTCTAGGGACTCCTCCGTAAAAACCGATTGAAAAAACTGAGACAGTAATTGCACTTTCTGTGGGCCTTCAACTACTAAGTTACCGAGGCTATCCTTTAGACATGCAATTTCGTCCCTATGTTTCCTCCTACTGCGGATGTACCCGCAAAACTTCTTGGGACATGTAATGGATTCTGCTATCAGTGGACGCTCGAAAGAACTTCTAGCAACCCGTTTTTCTTTGCGGCATTTATTGCGCTGATCCTTATATTCGGCGAGTGACCTTGGATCTCGAAGTTGCAAATACTTTTTCCAGAGTCTCTGTTTCTTCTTCATGGTCTTTTTTGTCGTCGGATTGACCCACGGCGGTCGTGAACATGGTCTTGTCATTTTTATTGGACAATGGGAATCAATCAGACGCTCTATAATCCCGCGAAAGTACTGCCAGAATTCGTCTGAATCTTCTGTGTTGACCAACCAGGTTTCCTCCAAAAGTCTGCGACTCATTGCGTTATAGTCACCCTTCCAAATATTTCTGCGCGTCTTGATTTTTGGTTGTTGGTTGGATAGGAGAGAGCACACGCAGGTAAAAGCAATATGATCGCTTAAACCGAGTGGAGGTTGTGGATTCACTTCCTTTATGAGTCCTTCTTCTTTACTGAAAATGAGATCTAAACAATTAAATCGTTGTCCTTCTCTCAGTCTTGTTCCGAATTTTGTGTGCTGAATGAGGTATTCATTCAGGAAGAGTTGTAGTAGCTTGTGGTCAAATGACGTGGACGGGGCGTTTGTTAGGGGAATGTTCCAGTCTATTCCTGGAGCGTTGAAGTCACCCAGAAGTATTAAGTTCTCCTGCTTACATAACAACTCCAGTGCACTAAGTAATTGCATATCGGCGAATTCATTCGAACTGGGAGGCGATAGACAACACACAGGCTCAGTATCGGCAATTGTTTGATACATATCTTGCATGAAATTATTTCAAAATTTCGGGGCGCACCATCGGAAATTTCTCGTTGACAGCACGCAATTTCATTTGACACATAAATAGCTGTGCCTCCTCCTCTACGGTGAAATCTGTCACAACGGAACAGTTGGTAGCCTTCAATTCTGACTTCGCTACTATTGATTTCCTCAGTCAACCATGTGTCTGTTAGGACAATTATGTGTGGCTTCTGTTCAGAGACAAGTAATCTGAGTTCATCTAGCTTGTTAAGAAGACCCTGACAGTTAGTGTAATAGATTTCTAGACAGCGGCCACTGGTTCGAGCAGCCTCAGGAGCTGGCACGTTTGCATCGGTTAGGCTGTCAGAATGACGGCCTTCGGCCAGAGAAATGTCCGTTTGACCTGAATTATTTGTCCATTCTTGATTTGTAGGTGTGTTTCGCCGCTGTTTCTCCGCTTTTCCAGCTCCGTCATCAACTCTCTCATTTTCATTCGCTCTTTTGGCCCGTAATCCGGCTGAAAAAAAACTTCAGGATGCTGACCCGTAGAGAGGATTTTCTTTGTAACAGGAGCTGGGCTTGTGCTTCAGTCTCCAAAATGACTTTTAGGGGTCGAGGCCGGGAATTTGAACCGGATGCTGACTGACTCTTCCCTATTCGGAATGCTTTGAGAACACTTATGTTCCGAAATGACCAAGAGCGATGAGAAGTCGAGCTCACCCCCTGTAACTCCTCATTTTGTCCCACCATTATGGGCGTGTTCGAACTATTTTAGCCCACAACATCTATCTGTACAACACACATTTTTTACGTTGCAAATAGGGTACTCAAAGGCTTACGCCTATTTCCTTCAATAAACTGAACTGAACCGAACTGTCTGCCACTAGAGAGATAACTAGAAGCATTACATGACAATGCATTTTGTTCATCAGCAGTTTGAACTCTATAGCACCACCCGGGCAGGTATTTGTGCTGCGGAATTCAAAAAAGGCGACCTGACTTCAGGGGCTATAACAAAGAAAATGTTCATTTTCAAATCCGATTTTTTAACAGTTCTGATTCCACTTAAAATTCTATACGCTGCCTGATTAAGCTGTTGGATATTTCCTTCGCGCAATCGCTAGTGTCGCACGTTGGACACTCTTTAGATTCTTCAAAAATGTGCAGAGAACAGAAGCATACGTGCAGTTAAGATGAAAATCATGTGTAACTGCTGTTATCGGAGAGCAACAGTTACACTTTTCCATGGTTCACATTCAGTACCGTATTAATAAGTTCCATTTTGGAGATAAAATTAGTTTTAATCATCTCATTTATAATTTTGGGAACCACCATTAGGAAACTACTTTATTCTATGCTTTTATTGTTAAAACTTCATTTGCAATTCTCTCCACTGAGCAAAATGATAAGAACGTCACTGGCTTTGGGAAATATGCGTGTTTTTTGGCACATGTATGATATTAGAGCCCAACTTATCGTTACAAACACATGCTATAACCTATGCTTTCCGTGTGGTAAGAAGGCTGTGTAAATATAGCAAAGATCGAGGCGAAACATAATCACTTTCCCAGTGCGTATCACAGTCTATGCTGTTCACCGTAGGATATATACAATTGCCCGAGTAGTCAGCGATGTCGTATCATGATCCACAATAAATACCAACAAAAAATAAAAACAGTAACAGAGCAGCTTTACGTGATCCTCATTCCATTGCTGGGACAGAGCTCATACACTATTAGGTAGAGGAAGTATTGCGGTTATGCATAGGGGCATAAGCAAACACTTTCAGTTACTCCAATACGCCCACGAAAATTGCAATCGCAAAATGTCGTCTAAAAGAAGTGATAAACAAAACAGCACGAATTCGTAAGCAGTGCTGTGCGATTAAAACCAGCTTTTATGGGAACATAAAATAAATTAGTTTTGCGTGACGAGTAGACACTGCCATGAATATCGGCAAGTTCACGGCCTTCAAGTTTTGTGATAGACTAGCTTCTCAGCCTACGGTTTGGTCTTCGTTTTTTTTCGTTTGCGGCTTTGTTAATTGGGCATGTACTAACTGCGAGGGAGCATAGAGGTTTCATTGCTGATCTCCTTTCTCCACCATAGTACTGTATTACGTTTCGAAACTGAAAAACAATGTACACGTCACAAGATATACTCAGTATTATTTCGTCTGTGAAATCTGACGTATACACCTCCATCTTGCCCAAGGACATTCAAGAATCATTGAAAACGTTGGCTTTCGGATTTCGCATTTAAAATAAGCTGGGTATTCCGCTTAAAAACACTTGTTTTTTGTATATTTTACTGTATGCGATCTCGCATGCGTCGGCGAATTTAAATTTCGAAAGCTCATCCAATAGGATATTTGTTGATAGTGTCGTCTCAATACAGCAAGATAGGATGCAAATTAACAAATGAGTGTTACTATTGAAGTTGGAACTTTTTTCTATAAATGCAATTCTGTTGTGCCAATGAACGTAGGAAATCACAGGAGACGCTATTATTGTAATCGGCTTAGGTCATCCGGAGGAATAATATATACGCCCCATAGTCATACAAAACCAAAACTTCCAAACATTCGTTAACTTAAAAAACCTGACTTTTTACCCTTGCGATATCTGAGGAGTGGCTGCTTAATGGTATATTAGACGAATTATACGAGTAAATGTTGTTCAGTTCATCTATAATATGTTTATAAAAATAAATCCATTCCAGGACATTTTTAGTTGATGTCTTGCAAATCACTCCTGTGTAAATCGTATTTAATTTGATTTAGTTTTCGCCTAATTTCCTTTTAAAACAAGTTTGCTCATTTAATGTCCGATAAACTATAACTTATTGGACGCTGTTCGAAAGCTGAAGGTCTACAGAGCACGAATTTCGTCTTCAGTGTTCACACCAATCAAGGAGGTTGCCGTAGAATTTCATTTTGTAACGATAACAGGTAATGGATAAGTAAAAGGACCGTGGACGAAGACCTTGAATCTGTTCGACGAACAATTGTTGTACATTTTGCAGTAAAAACTTTGATAAAAAAATACTGATGCGTCGGACATGTTTTTTTCCAGTGTAAACGCCAATTAAACAACAACGAATAATAAACACTTAACTCTAAGTAGGGGATGCTGCGTTTCTCATGGGATAAACGACGACGGCAAAAAAGAGCATAGAAAACGCACAAAAAATGAAGCCCTCTCCAGAATCGGTATTCGTAGGGTGAATGCTCCGGGTAAAGTCTCGATCCGTAGTCAGTTACTTAAGCTTTTTGCTCGGGTGAGTTCACGTCCAGCTAGACACGACCGAAAAATATAAATGTTTTGTGGCGACTGACTGAAAGCGATTGTGGCGCATGAGTTCAGTCAACTAAACAATGACACCAAACAGCAGACGGAGAAAAAAGACATGCGTTGTCCTAAGCCGAAACCATGTGTGTGTATTTGCGCGAATTTAAACAACAGTACAGAGAAGTTCAGGTTTACACGGAAGTTGGAACTGAAAAATCGAAAAAGTACATGAACTTACAGAAATCCCCCACCAGAGTGTTTGTTGTATAGAAAAAACGCTCGATAAAAAATACAAAAATTTACATCACAAAGCCTTTGGGTTTGGCAGAAAAGTGGAAAATTCTACCAGAACGATATAAAGTGTGCAGTGGAGTAGAAGAAGAAATAGGATGGGTGGGAGGGGGTGGGGTGGGCGAGTATGGGGGTTGAGTGGAGGACGTAAGGGTCCGGTGAGGACGGTGCAGAGGAAGTAGTTGGCACAACGGGCGGCGAAATGCACTCAAGATAGACTGGCTTAAGTCTGTCAATGGCGACCGTGCGAGCCTTGTCAGCCCTCTGAATAACGTAATACCTGTCCATCCGCTGAAAATCGGATGCCCAAATCACCAGAGGGAGATTATCATTCCAAGATGCTGGTTCTGGATGGGACATCCGCGCGGACTTGGGCTGACGGTGTAGACGCAAAGGCTAACACCAGACAGGCGCGAGAATTCCTCGAAGCTTGGCATTCTGGCACGACCAGCATCAACCGCCACGTCGATTTAGACGCCCATTACGAGGGTTTACGTACACGCTCACTGTCTCGTTCCCACACCTCAACATTTGCTAACCCCCACTCGGCCACATAGACGTATGCTGTTTCGCTTTTCCGCTCCCCCTTGCGACACGGTGAACAACAACCTAAACCCCCCCTAACACCTCCAACGCCGGCGCATTGCCCCCCGATCTCATCCCGCAACAGTGACCAGCCGCCCGCATCAATGACCAGCCACCCGCATTCCCACTGACTCGCAATCCCCACCCCCCCTCCCCCCCACGTTTTCACCGCCTCCAACACTGAGAGCCCTAACGGTTCTTCCTTCCCTTCCTCTGCCCCACGGCGTGCCACAACTAGGTGCCCACCCCTCTCACCCATTAGCTGTCTGTTTGTCGTTGTCTGTCCTGTCGCGCCAGCCGACCTAGTCTGCCGACTTCACTTTCCCTCTGTTCATTTCGTCTGACGACGGGTCGGTGTCACCGACTTGAAAATTTACGAGTACAACTCAATATTCCGAAGAGCCTTCACTTTCTCATATATATATATATATATATATATATATATAATACATATATAAAATTAATATTCCCGATCACAACCGACAGGACAACGGGCCCGTGGCCCAAAAGAAGAGCGTCAAACTCCACGACCAAAAAAGATGTGTTCGAATCTCAAGTGATCCACACATGGGGTTAGGTGTGAATGACTGGTGACGGCTAATAAGCCAGAAATATCCATTCTGGTCTCCCTTGTCTTTGTCGGTAGCACCTACTTTACATCATTTTACTAGTCGCTGTGCGACAACCTACGAGGGTTCTAGTGTGAGTCCCAAGGCACAACGGAACGAGTATGTTCCGTAACCTGACCGGTGAGCGCCTACTGTAATTATATATATACCACCTCTGATCTACACACATATATATTATATATATATATATACATAGGCAGAATGACATTTCCGACAAAGACACGGGAGAATGTAATGGCCATTTCTGGCCTATTAGCGCCGAAGTGTGGAACACCCAAGGCTCGAACTCGTGACCTGTTAGTTAGAAGTCCACGCCTCTAACCAATGGGTCACGAGCCCGTTGCCCTGTCGGTTTCGATCGGGAATATACAATTGTAGGGGGCGCTCACCGATGGTTATTACGGAACTCACTCGTTCCGTTGTGCCTTATGAGTCCTCTCTCGAGCCCAACCAGCAACCGCAAAACGGCGCATGATGTCGGTAATACCAGTCTGCCTATATATCATACGCCGCTGTGCGGCTGCTGGTTGGGCTCGTGAGAGAGAGCCCGCAAGGCACAACGGAACGAGTGAGTTTTGTAAGAACGATCGGTGAGCGCCCTCTACTATATATATATATATATGTATTGGAAGGTAAGCATCCCAAGAAATATAAGTTGAAATAAGAGGCGTTCTTTGGGAAATGGTACTTTATTGCGTGAAGTTTAGACTCCGGTTCCCCAGGTCGTCGTCAGATGCAGACTGAGAGTAAATGTACCAGCAACAGTTAACATTTGGCAGTGCACATAAAAAATAAATAATCGTTCGCGTTTGAGCCCGCGAGCGGCCGCTATTTGCGCCATTCCGTCCCGACTGGCTCTCGTCTCTTCTATTTCTCCTTGGGACTTTTGTACGAGGCGTCCAACTCGATATGACGGTTGACGCACGATGCATCCGAGTGCATGGCCTCAAGGAACTCTCGGCTTTTCTTGAAGGGGCAGGCACCGACAAGCAAACGTATGCCTCGTGTCTAGGGAAGGCATGGCTACTTGAGTCAGGTGGTCTCGCCTCTTTACTGCAAGTTGGTGTTCGTGAATGCGCGGTGAGGCAAATTTTTCCTGTTTGACCACGATAAACTGCATCAAAGACCTCACATGGGATCTTCTAGACAACTTCCTTTCTCTCGAAATAGCCGACCCTATCGTTAGGGTGTACTATCTGAGTACGTAGTGTAGTCAATGGTCTGTGTGCCACCAGAATTTGGTGCCTCTTTAGGTGCCTTTTCACGAGTTCAGACGCGTTTTTGATGTAAGGGAGGGTTCGCCATGTATTTGGCTTGGGTGCCTGACTGGAAGTTCTTTGTTCACTTTCCTTTTACTCTTTTTGTCTCCTGCATCTGCGCACAGAATCTTTGGAGCATCCATTTCGGACAAATAATTTACACAAGTAGATTAGTTCGGCTCAGTAGCCTTCTTCGTCCGCGCAGTGTTTTTGCCCGATTAAGCAGAGATTTACACCACCTAAGTGTTCATTTTTACCGAGCTCGATTTTCGCAGGTATCGTCAATCAATATGCTTTTGCCCACTTGCTTTGGCGGAGTAAGTCAGGAGTAGAGGGAAGAGGATCACCCAACAAGTAAATAGAAATCTAAACGACTACCACGGCATTAGTGACCCACGTTGTAGTTACCGACTGCCAGGCCGACGACTGCTCTCCTATCTAAGCATTTCCAACATGCCTTAAGGACTTTTGTAAAATCCCTACTGTATGTAACGGTAAATTTCGTAATAGATTTGCAACTTCAATTTCAATTTCAATTTCAATTATTTTATTAAAGACCCGTCGGGGTCCCATCAAAGCAAGTAAAAATAAATTTACATGCAAATTTTAGACGATGTAGGCAAAATCTGCACAAAGTGCAATGCATAGTTTTTGAGATTAGAAGTCCGTTAAGCAAAATGAAAATGTTTTTTGGAAATATTTGCATTGAAATCTATGCCCTTCTCTTAACCATATCGTGGTAATAATACAGTAACAATTTTTGAAAACATTTTCAAATATTTTGCCATAAAAATATTGCGGCAGTTGGTAAGATCAGTCTCAATGGTTCTTCAAGCACGAACATTGCTGCCACGTTGGAAATGACCACTTCAACTGTTTACACCATTATTAACCGTTATGAGAAATTCGGCCACATTGACAGGACGTCTGGTAGAGGAGAAGTGAAAAGCGTTCGAACCGTCGACGTAAAAAGTCTGGCTGGGATCGTATTCGTTGCGGTACTGTCCGTAGCATAAGGAGGATGGCTTTGGGGCCTGAGATGTCGGAGCACACTGTCAGGAGTGTTGCTAAAAAGGACATGTGCTGGATGTGCTAGGTGTGTCGGGGCTGCGGTCAATTCCGCTCTCGTGGATACGCATGCGACCGAATAGGCCCATGCGATGCGTGAATGTGCGAGGGCAGTGTGGACAGCAGAGGCGGGTGCGGCGGGTTGGTGATCCATGCACTGGTTCACTAGTCTCTGTGCGATGGATTCGCAAATGACGGACCAGACCGATTTATGACGTCAAGTTGCGTGTGCAGTGAGACCGGGTCCTCATCACTCGTGTTGATGGCAGTGGATTTTGTGTTCTGTGGTGTGTCAAGATTGTGTATAATGTTGATGGGCATGGCAGAAGGTGAGGCGGTGGAAGAGAAGGAGGAGGATGGTAATGGTGGTTCGGCGGGGCCATTATAGTTAGTTGGGCTGGATGGAGAGACGACGGTTGGAGCAGTCCGGGTGATGCAGTTGATCCGAAGGTGTCCGACAAGTCCAGTTTGAGCCCGGAATGTCCGTTAACCTCGTTAACAGGCGGCGGCAATTGAGGTTTGTGTCTCGAGTTTGGTTTTGACGGCGGTGATGCGGTTGACTTCGAAGATTGCTGCGCCTGTCTTCACTGTCCTCCTCCAGGTCGGTCAATCGAGTGCGAGGTCTTTCCAATTTGCCGGGTTGATCTGCAGGCGCTTCAGGGAGTTTTTCAGAGTATCCTTATAGCGCCGGACTTTACCATCTCGGCGTCGGGAACCAGTGGAGACGGTTAAATAGAAGAGTCGTTTGGGTAGCCGCTCATCTATTCGCAAGAGGTGGTTGCAGTTGTCTAAGCATGACATAGATGCTGATGATTTCCACCCGCTCGAGTACGTCCGTGTCTGGGATCCAGTCCTGCCACCTCAGCTTCAATATTCAACGAAGACAACTGAGGTGGAAGCGGTTGAGTCTACGTTCACGCTTCATGTACACCGTTTAGGTCTCTGTTCCATACAACAACGTCGGTGAGATGATGGCCTTCTACATCTTCATTCTCGGGCTGACTTAAAGGCCGTAACAATTTCAGACTGAGTTTTGAAGATGACCGAAGCCCGACTTGTCTTGAAAATCCAGCGGCCTACTTCATCGTCAATTTTTTGTTGCTGGAAGGGATGCTGCCCAGATACGTGAAATTGTCCACCACTTGCACTTGGATTCGTTCACGCCGATTTTCGGCGCATTGTACGTACTGTCGGATGGCAATTGATTCATTGCCACCATCTTCTCCGTACTGATGATCAAACCGAAATCCTCGCAGGCGGCGGAGAAGAGGTCCATGCCCCTTTACATGCCTCCTTCAGTCTTCACATTAAAGGCGCAGGCATCGGCGAACAGAAGTTTTTGGGTGGCTGTTGTGGAGAAACGTGATTGAAAGTGCATACGCCGGTGATTGAGCAGTTGACAGTCCGTCCTGTAGAGGGTGACGATCCCGGGGCGAGAACATAAGACTGAAGAGGGTGGGCGCGAGAATACAGCCCTGGTCCATTCCGTTTGTCACTGCGAATGCCTCCGGGACAGCTCCATTATCCGTGACGCGCGCCATCATGCCATCGTGAAGCTGACGCACCATCTGAGCGAATCGTTTGAGACAGCTGAGTTTCGGCATGATTTTTCACAGTCCGTCACGATTCACCGTATCGAAGGCAGGTGGGGCCGCATCTCCTAACACTCCTCCTGAAGTTGGCGGGCAGCAAAGATAATGTCCGTGATCCTTACGATGACGGCGGAAATCACACTGGCTTTCCGGCAAAAAACTTTGATCCAGCTGATTATTCGGGCGGTTAGAAGAATGCGAAAGAAAACTTTTCCCGCGGTGTTTAGCAAGGAGATGCCTCGTTGATTTTCACAGAGCTGGCGGTTTCCTTTCCGTTCATGTCGATGTACGATTGGAGCGTCCTTCAAATCCTGCGGGACTTCTCCTTGACGCCACATCTCCTGGGTGAGCGTCGTCAGATGATCCATGAGTTGGGGCTACCGTGCTTGTAGATCTCAACAGGGATCGCGTGCGATCGGGGCGCTTTCTCGCCAGAGAGCTACTGCACGACCTTGACGGTCTCGTGGAGAGAGGGCGAGAGGTCGAGGTCAGCGTTGATCTTTACTTGCGACAAATGAGCGATGGCGGCGTCGGAGATGATGTAGGGATGTTTGAGGAGGCCTCTGAAATGTTCGACCTATTGCTGAATAATTTGTGTCTTCTCCGTGGGTAGGGTACTTTCGTCGGCGCTGAGGTGAGGAGCGGTGTCTTTCGTCGGCGGACCGTAGACAGCTTTGATCGCGGAGAAGATGTTCTTCCAATCGTTGCGGTCCGCGTACCCATGTATCTCCTCGACGTTGCGAGCCGTCCGGCCATCCTGCATCTCGCGCAGCCGCTGTTGCACAAGGCGGCGGCTATGATAGAAGGCTGCTTTGTTGTTGGCGGTGGAGCTGTCGACGTAGGCTTTGTGCAGGCGGTTCTTCTCGGCGAGCAGGTTGCTGATGGCGGCGTCATTGTCATTAAACCAGTCTTGGTGCTAGCGACGTGTGTGACCGAGGACGGCCAGGACTGTCGCCCGAACTGTGTCCCGCATCTGACATCATCGATCCTTCACGGAGGCGTTCTCGTCAGCGGCGGCGGCATCAGCGACTGTTAGGTTGTCTAGCCGTTGAGCTAGCTCGTTTCTGAAATGGAGATGGTGTGCAGGCAAAGACATTAAAACAATATTCAGCTTACCTGGAGGTTGCTTACCTTGGAGTCTCCTGCGAGGCTGTAGGCGCATCCGCATATGCGAAATGACGAAACGATGATTGGCCCACCTGTCGGTACCCGGGATCACCCGCTTTTCTTGAATCCGGACGAGGACATAGTCCAGAAGGTGCCACTGACGTGGCCGAGGATGCATCCAGATGGCCTTCTCTCGCTCCGACAGGCAGAAAATATGTTCGTCAGGATGAGCCGGTATTCGCGCAGGCTAGTCGAGGGGGCAGACCACTGTCATAAGAGCCGTTTAGACAGTGGGGACCCAGCATTCCTCTTCAGTCAGCATGGCCTGTACCGACGCGGGCGCTGATGTCACCTAAGACTTATCATGCCACTTATCCGCCTCCAACGCACTTGCCAGGAGGGCATGCAGGTCCTCGTAGAATTTGCTCTTGCGGCAGCAGGACTGATCATTGTCGGAGCGTAGATGCTGATGATGATGACAGGCGGAGGCTCATCAAACGATCGTTGATGCCCTGCGGCAGCCAAGGCAGTCGTCCAACGATGTCGTTCCGTATGGCGAAGGTGACACCCGCGTCCCGTTGCTCTACCGTCAGGTGACCGCTCCAGAAGGGGGTGCAATCTGCACCCGCCTTATCCAGTTGGCCTTGTTTGGAGAATCGGGTCTTGCTGAGTGCCGCGATGTCCACCTTGTAGTGCGCCAATTCCCAAGCCATTAGTGACGTCCTCCGTTCCAGTCAGTTGCTCCTCGTTTTGTCTAAAAGGGTTGCCAGAGTGAGCGGACTCACCTCAGCAGTCTGTGGGCTCGGACGAAGGGTAGGAGGAGGTGGATGAAGAGGGAGAAGAAAGTGTTGTTTCGATTTTGGTTGTTTGAACGTGAGCTTAACTTCCGCGAACACGGTCAGCCTGCAGACGGTGTGCTTCTAGCCGTGTCCCCCTCGCGCGGGTGAGCAGTGTTATTTCTAAATAGAGCTGCTTAGTTAGTATCACCATATTTCAGGGAAAGTAGGTGTATACCTTTGAAATCCCTATTGGTTACTTGCAGGGGAAGTATATAGAGTAAATCATGCGGATAGCATAGTAATTATACGGATGTAAAATTGTGATTCTACTTTAGCATTCTCTAATTTTCTCCCAATTTCATTATCACAAACACTCTCTTAATATCTCGCTTTTAGATAATGTTTTATTTCTCTGACTTCCATATTGACGAAATCCAGCACAACCTTTTTGGCATAGGAAACCGCATATTGTGCAATAATTTTACTTTTTTTCATTTTATTTGGCTTAATACTATTAGTTTTATTTGGGAAATACTGGGCATGCGTTTGGCTCTGTGTCAGGCACAACTTACTCCTAGATGCTGACCGTCTTCAACCCATATGCACAATGTTCACGAGGCACTTAAATCTTTACCTATGTTTCTTTGATTTACACTGCATATGTGCGTGCGAAAAAGGTAAGTCAAGTGTTTGAGAGTTTGTCCTTACTGTCGCCCAATGAAATAATCGTAAACATGTCCCTGAATCCAATATGCGCCCTTAGGTTTCCCCAATAAGCTGTTCAGTAGCAAACATCGCATCTTCTGTATGACTGGATGGCAACATGCAATGGATGGTAATATTTGACAGAGAAGGCATACTAACAACAGTTTCTTCGCTTTGCAAATGATTTGTGGATGTTTCGCCTTCTGCGTGCTATATGCAACAGGATGCTGCGCATGCCAGCACATTTTCAGTAAACGCGATGGACCCAATTCATGTTTATTATAACATGTTTATTTTTGCCCTAGTACTTAAATTCAAATGAGGTCTGAATCAAAACGGCCCTTGTGTTTAATGGGATATTGCTTATTTGTGCGTGTGTGTCTCAATGCAGAAACTCTTGCATTTATTATGATTTAGGTCATCTTTTGCCTCAACTACAATCTAAAGTAATGCAAGTGTTTATTGCAGCCTGGGATTTTGTGCGACACGAATGATGCTTTGAGTATTTACTTCCGGATGATGTTGTCTAATTAAAAGATCTGTTTAAGAAAATTAGTATTCAGTTGTGAATTCGTACTCAATTTCGTTGATTGTGGGTGGATTTTATACGCAGCTTGACACTCAAAGAAGTTCAAACAAAATGGTTCAAGATTATGCAATTAATTCAAAATGAAATCAAGGAGTACGGCATGACATGTCATTCTATTCATATCTGTCCGGTGTAATTTAAACATGCTTTATTTTCTATCTTTCGGTCGTATTTAGCAAGTCAATCCTAGAACTTTCCATAAATGATGAAGTCTGATGCAGCATCGTCTGCACACTCAACGGTCTAATGCCTAAATTTATTTTAAGAACAACACTTGTTTCCACGCGATGAAGATTTAAGCCGTCACGTGAAAATTGCAGCGCATCTGATAGACCGAATTGAACGCATAGACGTCCAAGAGGAAACTAATGATACGGAAATGTTTTTCTATAGCATCTATTTATGGAGCAATGCGGAGATAATTGACTGCATGTTTCAAGAGAATAGAACACACTTTCAATATGATGAATACAGTTGCGCAGTTGTTTTAAGGAGCGTGATATTAAGCTTTCAACAGGTAAACACTTTATGCTTGCAGCGGTTTACGGTTTAAAAAAATATTTTAATTATGAGATTACTCGTGATTTCTAGCGATAATTGTATCCTACGATTAAAGCCATGGATTTGCGACTTACTAGGCTTATATGACATCGCTTTTTTCCAGTTTTCACAGCTCAGAGCACTTCCCTTTCCCCAGGCAGGTTATAACAGCCTGCCGATGCGTAGATTTCATTTGACGGCAAAGGTCAAAATTTCCAATTGGAACACAACGAAGTGGGGCCCTAATATCGCTGGAATATCAAAACTCATGCTGCCAACTATTCTGCCTGGCATCAGAAGACTCCTCTGGGCAAAGGGCAAGCTTCATTCATTTATTCCGACAACGCCAACAACGAGGATAATCAAAAAAATGCACAACGCACTAAATGACGTTACACCCCAGTGCGAACTTTAACGAAAGTAACAAAAATAATAAAAGTACGCATACAGTAAGTGTGCTAACTCATGTAATATCATAATGAGAAACTTTTTATGACCGACTTATATTCCTTTGCAAAGTATAACATAAAAAGACGACTTATATTTCCACAAAACTAGTAAAAGAATGGATATTTCAGGCATGTTTTTTTACAGTATTTTTCGATTTATAAGAGCATTGGGAATTAAGGGAGAGGAAGGGAGAGAGGGAGGGGAGAGGAATTCGCTTTATTTTGAAATCGTAAGTTCAAAATTTTTAGCAAAAAATTGGCTCCATTCACTGTGGGCAGTAAATAAGTTAAGAGATTATTCAACAGTCAAAGAAACGATTATAATGGGGATAGTTCAAGTCTGAGCTTCTGTATTTCTGTCTCTTCACACGTAAGATAGCGCGCTTGGAATGGCAATACAGAAGCTCGGTAAGCCGATGTGCGAGAGGATATAAGACGGAAGTTGCGGCTCATCACGTGGGAAGACTTGGCAGACATAAGATCGGAATGTAGGGGATGGGCAACGTCATCTAGAATTCGACCAGCAAATTGCTTGACCGCATTGAAGTGTCGTTGTAAGATTGTGTCAACTAAAAAAATATAAGAAATGCCAGCAGCAGAAGAGAGCATGCGGAGGATTCGTTTCAAAATTAAAAGATCCTTTTTTAACAAAGCAGGAAAAACGACAGGAGAACAGTATAGGATAAGAGGAAGAATGCAGGCATCAATGAATCGCCAGACTAAGACAAATAATAAGAAAAATTGCTCTAATTGCATAATCCTTTCGTACGAAGAGTTCTTTTTGCAGGCGACCGAGAAGTAGTTCATTCAAACGCCGGCGTATTGAGGTAGCTGACTTATTATGGTAGTATCCGGCACGGTAATTAATCTTATAACCCTAAGTAAGTAATCGTTTGTAGTCGAAAACATATTTATGAAATTTAGTCAACATTTGATGAGCTAGTGCATCTACTGTAGGCGATAATTTACCTTAGGCCTTGTGCCAAAATAAGCCGTTATCTGGGTTTGGCATTTTCGTATTAGGCGTTGTATTAGGCGATCTCTAATATCGTCTTTGGTTTAGATGACAGTTCGACCGCCATTGCCGCTGATTTCCACCGTGTGCTCAACTACACAGAAAGCTGCGGGACGTGAACTCGTGCGTGGGCAAGTTAGAAGTGACAGTAGACATGTGCAGTATCAACTACACCCTCCATTTTTCCCTCACCTAGAGCCGGTTTCATCACGAAGTCTAGAAGACTGAAGGCGAGAAGTGAGGCAAGTGGCTGGAATGACGAGAAAATGAACCTAGGCGTACCACTATACCCACTTGCCCACAACAGACGCTGGCTAGGGTTTTATGCCACAACAAAAGTAGGGGGATGGCTCGGAACCTGACGAGTGGCGCTGGCATAAAATCCATATAAAAAGGACTTACTTCAGTCTGACTCTCAGTCCGCCAGTTCGTTACCGAAATGGGCTAACTGCGGTGTCCAAGTTATGCCATCAGTTAGCTTTAGGGGCACCGGGATAGCTTCAAACCGTTCAGATTGATGGTAGAGAGGAAAGCACACACAGACGTTGGTCTCACTCTATTCCCGTCATCAGGCCCACGCCACTCTCCAAGCCGGTCACTCGCTTAGCGCAGGTGATGGAATGGTTCATATATTTAACCATTAGCAAACAGAATTACGACAATATTAGTAGTCTGTAAGACATAGGAAGGATAATGCAGACATATAATACACGTTGAGTTTAGGAGCCGAACGATAGGATAGAGGACTATTGTATACTTATAAAATGTATTCAGCAGTAATTAATTTACATATGCTCCCAATTCACTTTCTCCCAAGAGGCATGTTTTATATTTGCTAAGAGCCTGAGGGCA